ACAGGTTAAAAAGATAAATGATCTGTAATCTTATCATTTCAACAGAACACTCCTAAAAACACACACCAAGGTGGGATTTCACCTAGTTAAACCCTAGGAGTCCGATTTTTTTTTTATGAGAGTTACAAATTAAAGATTTAATTTGGTGGATTAAGGTATGAATTACTACTTCTAACACTTCGATTAGTATAATGTTTAATGTTTAATTCTCGTCAAAGTATTTCTTCACAAATGGCATCTAAAGGTCACTCTAGTGGCTTAAAGTCACTAAAAAGTCAGTGAAAAGGGCACACTCATCCTTTATGGAGATGTTATTATGGTTTAGAAGCTTGATTTGTACATTAAGTAAATGAAAACCCCTACAATGTCGATTCAGGAGATGCTTAATGAGTTTGAACCACTAAATCGACCTTCCAAGGGGTCTTTATTTACTTGTTGTACAAATCAAGCTTATAAACAACAATAACAAATCCTAAAATGGTGACTATACCCTTTTCATTGACTTGTAAGTGAGTTTGAACTATGGATCGACATTTATTTATTTGTTGTACAAATCAAGCTTCTAAGTTGAGCTTTTAAACCACAATAACATCTATAGAATCAATCAATTGGTTGAAATTGCATTAAAATTATAAATGTAACGACATACTTGAGAAAAAACTTGGTTACAAAATCGAAATTCTATGGTAATATAATGACTTTCTTGCAAATTTAAACTAGGTGTCAAAATCAAAATTTTGGTAAACTTAGTAACTTTATTGCAATTTGGGAAAAATAGTTACTAGAGGAACAAGAAGAATCGATCATTTGGTTGATATTGCAACAAATTTGTGAATACAGTGATATAATTAAGAAAAAAATTACTTGGTGTCAAAATAGAAATTTTGTGGTTTAATAGTGACTTTTTTGTTTGTTGTACAAATCGAGCTTCTAAACCACAATAGCATCTCCTAAAAGGGTGATCATGCCCTTTTCGCTTACTTGTAAGTAGGTTTGAACCATTAGACCGACCTTCATTTATATGTTGTATGTCGAGCTTCTAAACAACAATAACATCTCATGAATCGGTCAATTGATTGACATTACAATAAAACTGTAAATGTAATGACATAATTGAGAAAAAAAAAGTCAATGTCAAAATGAAAATTTTATTGTAATATAACGACTTTTTGCAATTTGAAACTCAGTGTCAAAATCAAAATTTTCGTAAACTTATTGACTTTATTGCAATTTGAGAAAAGTGGTTACCGAGAGAACAGGGAGAACTGATTATTTGGTTGATATTGCAACAAAATTATAAATATAGTGATATAATTACGAAAAAATAATTCAGTGCCAAAATCGAAATTCCTTGTAATACAGTGACTTTCTTGTATTTTGTCCAATAAAATATTGTTTAAAAGTAATACGAAGGATAATCACAATCGATACCATATAAACTATTTATCTAATAAGTCTTTAAGTTATTTTATGCTTATTAATAACATCTTATATATGTTCGTGGGACTATCTGTTCTTTCTCAATATGCACCATGATCCATGTTTCTCGTACGTGTATATGTCAAAATAATACATTCAGATGGAAAATTTAGTAAGTCATACAAGGGTTAGAGAGCAAAAAATCATATATAAAAGAGCATTAAAAATATATTAAATATAACCCTTTTTACATTGTAAACCATCTATAGACCAATATTTATATTTATAAATCTTTAAGGAGAAAAAAAGTTGCATATATACGAGTATGTGGTCTCTTCATATATATATATATATATATATATATATATATATATATATATATATATATATATATATATATATATATATATATATATATATATATATATATATATATATATATATATATATATATATATTGGTTCAGGTTCATTTGAGACCATTATAATTTTGTGAGACCGTGAGACCAAATCTAAATATAATTTTAAAATTCAAAATAAATGGAAAAATCCAAAAATTCTTTTTTTAAATATTATTTTCGGAACTTGAATTAACTAAAAAAAATATAAAAATAAATAAAAAAAATCTGTTTTTTTTTTTTTTGAAAAATACGTGAAATATTCTAAATAGAATATTACACTGACATATTCTAAAAAATAATTTTAAAATGCAAAATAAATGGAAAAATCTAAAAATTCTTTTTTTAAATATTATTTTCGGAACTTGAATTAACTAAAAAAATAAAAAAATAAATAAAAAAATTCTTTTTTTTTTGAAAAATACGTGAAATATTCTAAATAGAATATTACACTGTACATATTCTAAAAATAATTTTAAAATGCAAAATAAATGGAAAAATCAAAAAATTCTTTTTTAAAATATTATTTTCGGAACATTAATTAACTAAAAAAAATAAAAATAAATAAAAAAAATTAAAAAATGCATCTCACGGTCTCACAAAATATAGGTGGTCTCAAATGAACCTAACCCTATATATATATATATATATATATATATATATATATATATATATATATATATATATATATATATATATATATATATATATATATATATATATATATATGTTCAGGTTCATTTAAGACCATTCTAATTTTGTGAGACCGTGAGACCAAATCTAAAAATAATTTTAAAATGCAAAATAAATGGAAAAATCCAAAATTTCTTTTTTTAAATATTATTTTCGGAACTTGAATTAACTAATAAAAATATAAAAAAATATAAAAAAATTAAAATAAAAAAAAATCCGTTTTTTTTTTTTGAAAAATACGTGAAATATTCTAAATAAAATATTACACTGACATATTCTAAAAAATAATTTTAAAATGCAAAATAAATAGAAAAATCTAAAAATTCTTTTTTTAAATATTATTTTCGGAACTTGAATTAACTAAAAAAAATAAAAATAAAAAATAAAAAAAGTTCTATTTTTTTTGAAAAATACGTGAAATATTCTAAATAGAATATTACACTGTACATATTCTAAAAATAATTTTAAAATGCAAAATAAATGGAAAAATCAAAAAATTCTTTTTTTAAATATTATTTTCGGAACATGAATTAACTAATATATATATATATATATATATATATATATATATATATATATATATATATATATATATATATATATATATATAGGGTTAGGTTCATTTGAGACCACCTATATTTTGTGAGACCGTAAGACGCATTTTTTTATTTTTTTTTTATTTTTTTATTTTTTTTATTTTTTTTTAGTTAATTCATGTTCAGAAAATAATATTTAAAAAAAGAATTTTTTTTGATTTTTTCATTTATTTTGCATTTTAAAATTATTTTTAGAATATGTACAGTGTAATATTCTATTTAGAATATTTCACGTATTTTTCAAAAAAAATAGAATTTTTTTTTTATTTTTTTTAGTTAATTCAAGTTCCGAAAATAATATTTAAAAAAAGAATTTTTAGATTTTTCCATTTATTTTGCATTTTAAAATTATTTTTTAGAATATGTCAGTGTAATATTCTATTTAGAATATTTCACGTATTTTTAAAAAAAAAAGGGAATTTTTTTATGTTTTTTTATTTTTTTTTTAGTTAATTCAAGTTCCGAAAATAATATTTAAAAAAAGAATTTTTGGATTTTTCCATTTATTTTGCATTTTAAAATTATTTTTAGATTTGATCTTACGGTCTCACAAAATTTGAATGGTCTTAAATGAACCTGAACAGATATATATATATATATATATATATATATATATATATATATATATATATATATATATATATATATATATATATATATATATATATATATATATATATATATATATATATATATATATATATATATATATATATATATATATATGAATGAACGCAAGATGATCATGATTTATGCAAATATTGTATATGCTTTTAAACTCTTTTTATCTCAAAATTGTTATGCTTGTAAAATACAAAAATACTACATACCTTGACAAATAATATACATCACCACAAATCACATTGGTTATTGAATATATTCATCGTCATAACCATTTGGAATGAAAGAAAAATGAGTATCAAAATAAAATAAACAAATGAATAAATGATTTTTTTTGTTATTATTCAATAATTCATAACCGAGAATAATTGGTTTATCAAAATACTAAAAAAAAATTTAAAAAAAAAAAAAAAAAACTAATTGTTCTTCATCAATGACATTGATCACTTCTAACGAGTTCGATGATTAATCGTGTACAAAAAAAAATGTATAAATGTGAACAAAACTAATAGATAATTACCCTCTAAGTAATTTTTCCAATTTAATTTGAAACATAGATGCCGCATCAAGTAAGTTATAATTACCCTCTTAAACCATTTTTCCCTCTTTCAACATCCTCACTCGATTCTAACTTCGGAAGGGATTAAATAAAAACACATTTTCTCACAAACTTTGGAAGGGATTAAATAAAACATATTTTCTCACAAAAAGTTATGTAGTTTTGAAACAACATATTTGTTTTTTATTTATGGAAGACCTAGAGATAGTGGCTTGCATTTTGCTTTTACAAGAAATTAGACAATTTCCAAGAAACAAACAATACCGGTGATAAATCTACGAGTATTTACAAATTTACCCAGTTGCGTCACATATGTTATTAAGTTTAAGGAATCACTTTTGTTGATGCCAACCCATAGAAAATTGTTTATTAATGTTAAGATACATGAGCTTCTAACAAGTTGTTGATACTCAATGATGTTCATAGGAGTGGCAACCATATTGCACCCTGCAATCATGTATTGTTTACATATTATACAAAATACAAAATTGCAAGAATAGTCCCTGTGGTTAGGTGGAAATTGCTATTTTGGACCAAAAATGTTTAGACTAACACTTATGATCCAAAGGTTTTCATAAATGGAGTGTGAAATGTCATATTATGAAACTTTTATGTCGCATCTCATCTATCTAACCGTCACTTTTAACTTTTTGATTTTTTATGATTATTTAAAATTTCAATTTATAACAATTTTCTAATAAATTGTCAATAGAAAGTTCAAACAGACATTTTCAATATATGTTAAGCACTTTTTCTGTCACAATTGGTTGATTCTTTTAGTATTCTACTTGCTTTAAACTAGAAAATCAGTTAAGATCTCATCTCTTACATGTATCATTAGACAAAACTGATATAATAAACACACACACACACATTGTGTAAAATGGAACAAGATCATCTTTTTAGGCTAATGTAAAGATCATCATCATCATGGATACCATATAAAAGCACCTCAAATGTTACATTCTTGGAGCTGTAACAAAAACATAGTGAACAAGTCATTAAAATATATATATATATATATATATATATATATATATATATATATATATATATATATATATATATATATATATATATATATATACATATATGTATTTTAAATGTAAAAATTAATTACAATTTTTTTTAGGGTGAGTAAGAGTAACCTACCTCCACCCATTGTTGCTTCAGGCAATCTTTCAATTGAGTATTTGTGTTGTGTGATATACATAATAGGCACACCAGGTATCTGATTTTATAAAAAAAATATGTTAGCTACAAAAATTATAAATATAAAAAGACAACAAGAGACTTTGCTACAATTAAAAAAATATATATACCTTGCGAATCCTACGCTTCAAATCTCTATCACATGTTGCCACCAAATAGCACTTATGCTGTTTCAATAAAAAGATACGAGATTTAAATCTTTAATACAACAAATGATTTTGTGTATAATTCAACCAATTAGTGTATGCCACGTGTCCAAGGATTTTACCTGAGTAACTCTTTCAACAATGCAATCATCAGCATAAGTCCCTTTGTGAGTACAAGGAAGCCTTTCAAATCTAGGATCCTTGGCTATTCTGTTTCACCAAATACAGTTAAATCAAAGCATTAAATGTTGCTTTAATGATTCATTCCTTGAAGTAAAAGTTATGAATAATTATCATGTTTAAAGAATGAAGAACAATGAGATGATTACCTTAAAGCAACGCGATATTTCTGACCAAGTTTTTCAAGTTCAGCCATTACACAATCAGTAATACATGGAGTGCCTTTTAGGAGAAAGAAGAAAGAACCAAAGTATTAGTTAAAATGCTTTAATGCCCTTATTTTAATCTAAAAGAGTACTCCATTTGTCATAAGATAAATGCAAAGTTTAAGTGGAGATTAAGACTTACATTTTGCATATAAGCAATCCATCATTCCCTTCTCCAAGTCCAGCTATATGAAAAAAGGTTTAAACAATTAGGTCCAAAATTACAAAAGTTTAAAACAAGAGGTCACAAAATCAGTCAGCTGCAATCAAAAGATTCAATTGCTATGTGATATTGTCAAAGATTGAGCTCTAATCCTTAATTAGAGTGCCATAAACCAAAAGATTACTGAAATTTGCATCGAAAAGTATATGTGAATTACAATTGCTTGAAAAGAACAAAATAACAAATTAAGCAAAACTCACTTTATTTTGGATGGAGAAATTGATGAAGTTGGTATCGACCAAAACTCGATAAGGAGGTCCCAGAGCAGTATTGTATGTAAAGAACAGAGCAGAAGAAACATAGGGTCTGCGAATCGCAAATCGTAAATCACATATCAAATGCTGAAAATCATGATATATACAGACACGAACATGTTGATGAATTACAAACTTACACATTTCTAGGGAGCTTTGTTAAATCCTTTTTGTTAGGGTTCAAAACATCTTCTTTATGTCTGAAGAAACAGGAGAATCAGAAGATTAATGAGATAGAAAAATTAAGAAGCAAATAACTAAGAGACGCAAGGTGAATGATTACTGTTTAATCTCTTTATGAGAGACCATTTTCTTCATTACAGCGAATTTGGGACCCTTCTTTGCTCTCCCCATCTCTCTGTCTCTCTAAACCTGATTCAGGAATGTTATTGAAATACAAACCCTAAAACCCTTGTATATTGATAGAACGGTTCTTCCAGGTGCCGCCTTTAGCTGTAAAAGACGGTTCTACCCTTCCTAAATCACCGTGTTTAAAAGTTAAAACGATTTGGATTTTGGTCAAACGGGTCAAAATGTCCCGATACGATTGTTGGATCAAAATGGAGATTGGCGGTTCCGGATCTATCTTTGATCGGTTTAGAACGGTCCAATCTATTTTGGTCCAATTTCGTTGTTTTTGGGTTTTTTGGACTGGATTTTGAGTTTTTTCATTAATAAATATGTATTTAAAGCCGAATGATAGTAAGGTTTATCTTATCATACACAAATATGTGTTTAAAGCCAAAATGGATTTTGTGGGTCTTCTTAGGTTCATGGTTTTTTTTCGAGTATAATCGACCATATACAACCTGATCTTTAACCTTAATTCGGGTCATACAGGTAGATAGTTTAAGAGTAATTTAAAATAATCGGTTCATTCTTCAACATATTTGATCAACTTTTTAATTGATAAATGGCTACTGATAATGATTATAAACAATTACTAGTTAAGATATCATTCTGATTTTTTTTTAATAAATCATTTTGGATGAAACGCTTAAATATATTTTAAACGACCGATTTCTAGATAATGTATTTTTTTAGCTAACTTCTTTAAGGTTGATCGAAGTGGCACCACCACACATTGTGGTTTGGTGACATGGCAGTGCGGTACTATGGTGAACACCACACCGACCGGTGTATGGGTTGCGATGTTTACTCTGCACGAGACCATATTGCTGCATCTTTTTCCTATTTTTTCTTCTTTTTAACTTCTTTTACTTCATTATTAAATGATATATATATATATATATATATATATATATATATATATATATATATATGTATATTATAATAAATGAATAATTTTACTATTCTTTTGCAAGTGTCACTCTAATACAACTACTCATTAATATTATGTCGGGAAAATGACTTAAAAAACTAACGAAGTTTCCAAACCGTTTAAAAAACTCCAATCATGTTTTGTTTGTTCAAAAAAACTCAACAAACTTAACATTTTATCTAAAAAGTCCAACTAAGTTACACTTTTTCGAAAGTCAAATAAGGAAAACAGATGACGTGGCTTATTACCGTATCGGAAAAATGACTTGTTAGACCAACGAAGTTTGCAAAACGTTTAAAAAACTTCAATCATATTTTGACTGTTCAAAAAAAACCCAACGAACTTAAACAAAACAAAATTGGAATTTTCTGAACGGTTTGAAACTTTGTTGGACTTTTTAGATAAAATGTTAAGTTCGTTGGGTTATTTTGAACAGACAAAACATGATTGAGATTTTTTGAATGGTTTGAAAACTTCGTTGGGCTTTTAAGTCATTTTCCCATATTATGTCATTTGTCATGAGGCAACTCATTTAAAAATTCAAATTTACATTTTCAAATTATATGTTAAATTTAAAGTTATAATAACTTTAAAATTTTGATATATCTCTTAATTAATAGTTTATATAAAATGACTTATTTAAAATAATTAATTAATAGTTATAATTTTTTATTATAAAAATTTAATTAATTTTATAACTGTGATTTCTACGGGTTATAAACTAATATATATATATATATATATATATATATATATATATATATATATATATATATATATATATATATATATATATATATAAGTGAAAGGATTAACAAGTATAATATACTATTTCCTATCAGCTTTGTGGAATGAAGGATGAAAAGTTTTGTGGGATGATGGGAGGATGAAGAGAAAATGATTTGACATTGCTGATTTTTTGTTAGAAGTAGCCCATATACATTAATTTTATACATATTAAGGCCCAAAAAATATAAATTTTTTCCTATAGCCCTCCTGCTTACCGATTTTTATACATATTATATTTTCGGTCTTTCTAAATAAAATGTTGAACCTCCGCCCCTGGATGTGTGACAAACTAAAAATATGGTAAGATAAGGTACCACATACACCGGCCTAACTTTTCTTAAAGTCCATTAATAAAAGACAAAATTGCAAAAATGGTCATGTGATATGTATTTTTTGGGGGTTTTAGTTCAAACAACTACTTTTTTGATTGGTAGTCCTTTTGGCCTAGTTTGATTGTGTTTTTGCTCCCTCTAAAAACTAAAATGCCATTCTTGTATATTTTTTCTATTTAATTTAATGTTTTATTATTAATAAACATTAGGCCCCACCCTTTCTCTCTCTCTCTCTCTCTCTCTCTCTCTCTCTCTAGGTTTGTGTTTGATAAACACCCAAGAACATGTTCATAGATTCAAGAACACTCAAGAACATCTTCCACCACCATCATTTGACCACCGTCCACCACCACAGTCTGCCGCCACCACCTTCTACCACCTCCATCTCCACCTAAACTTTTTCTGCCACTTCAACTCTGCCAAAAAACATCTCAGAAACAAAAACCATACACAAAAATTGGGTTTGTTCTTGAGCTCACCCCTATTTGACGAACAAACACACATATGATATCATATCTGATGAACATACATGCACAAAAATCATATCAGATGAACACCTGATGAACACACACACACACAAAATCATTACACTCATATACACAAGAAATCAAATGAACACACACAGACACGTACACGAAATATGATGAACACGCACACGAAATCAGATCTGATGAACACATGTGTTTGTTAGTCATCAATCTACCATTTAACCCATAAATCTTGTAATTTAATGACACTATAACTAATACACACTTGTATATCTTGAGAACGGGACTTGAACACTTAAGAATAGAAGAAAAACTCATGAAAGTAACTGAACTTCAAATCCATGGCAAGAAGCCAAGAAACAACCAGATGAAGGAAAAAAGGTTAGAAGTGATAAACTCGTATATTCATATTGGATGGTGTTTTTGTTTTTAGATACACCGGAAACAACAGCTAGCGCCACTCTTTTCTTGCCCACACTCTCTATCTTCGTCGTTATCAGAAACCTTTCCCTCTTCGTCACCGGATCTGAAACCCACCATAAGCTTTTCCCTTTCCGTCTCCAGATCTGAAGCCACGTCCGTCTATAGATCTAAAAACCCTTCTCAAATATGTTCATCTCAAGCCGTCCACACTTTCAGTTTTTGTTCCGCCTTATTTTCTTGGTTTTTCTTAAACAACACACACTCTAGATTTTTAGATTTGTTGTTTTTGAGGAAGAAGACGATCAGAAGATATATATATATATATATATATATATATATATATATATATATATATATATATATATATATATATATATATATATATATATGGGAAAAGTGAATATACCTGTAACGCCCCGTTTATTTAAATAAATTAATAAATATAAGTCTCAGACTAATTTGTGAAGAATTTTAGAATTCGGAGATTAAAAGTGTCAGTTCCAGATTAGTCTTATAAATATTTATGAAGGTAAGGACCACGTGGTAAATTATTGAGACTTAAGATGGATAGATTATGAGAAGTAAGGGTTAAATGGTAATTTTGGACTTCATTGTAAAGAGTTTTAAAAGTTAGGGTTTATAAGGTAAACAAATAAGGGTGGAGGGGCTGAAGTTGAAAAATCATAAAATATGTTTGAAATAAGATACGGGATATACCCGTATCCCTTCCCCACGCCATTTCATCTTCAACCCTAAGCAATGAAGCGGCCGCCAACCTTATCCCTCCACTCCTCCAACCGCAATCATCTTGTTTTCCCTCTCGTTCACCGATCGAAAAAGTGTTAATCAACCGCCGCTTACATCTCAGGTACGATCGCCGACTGCTACACTGCCGATGAAGGTCGCCTTGCGACGTCCGCTGCCAGAAGTGTCGGGGGTCGCTAGAGAACCATCGAGAACCAAAGACAAATCTGTTGCTCGTCGTGGGTGGGTTGTGAGCCACTAGAAACTCTCGGTTAGTCCTCTGCAAACCACCCTCTTCTCTCTCTTTCATTGTATTCTGTGTGTACGATGCCGGAAGCGTTATTGTCGACGTCGGTGGCCATGGGGCCGCTGTGTGCGACTTTCCGATAATATCAAACTCCTAATCAGCTATCAGGGGCTTGATCTCGAGTCATTTCGTGATGGTGGCTGCCACCGTGTTCTGCTGCCCATTTCCTCCTCCAGCCAACGTAAGAGGTGGCTTTATGTGTGTTTATTGTTAATTGTGAAGAAGTATGTGTGTTTTTGAGTAGGAACCACCACCACCATTGGAAATCGTAGCTGCCGACGTAGTGCCGCTGCTGTTGCTATCGGACCTCCACACGTTGCCGTGAAGTGGGTGATCGTTTGCATTCCCGAGTAGGAGGCATATTTTGTGGATGTGTTTCTTTTGTTAGAGTGTGTTTTGTTTAGCAGAAATTTCCAAGATCAGCCACTACCACCACCGTAAGGTGGTGGTTGCCGCCAAGCACTGCTACCGGCCGCCATGGTGTGTATTTGTGATTAGTTTAGTGTGTGTGTATGGTTAATTGAGATTAGCTTTGTAAAATGTAACTTGAATTTTGGATTAATGAAAAGAATCAAAACCACCACCGTAAGGTGGTGGCCGCCGCCGTAAGCCGCCATAGACCACCACTACCCGAGGTGGTAGTGGATGGTGCCCCACTAGCAAACCCTAATGGGCTTAGAGATCGATGTTGGGCCTATTGGACCATATTTAGGTGGAAAACCCTAATTATGAGTATTTGGGCATTGGACTTATTTGGACCCACTTTTGGACCATTTGGATTGGATTGTGAATTAAGCCCAAATTATTCAATGCCATTTATATAGTAGAGTAAATGAATTAATGGATCAAGTCCTTAATGGACTAATTGAGAAAAATCCTAATATTTGAGAATTTTTCAAGACGCAAACGAGACTTAATTAATAAGTGAAATATTAAATAACATCATTGGTAGAAATTAATCTAAGCAATAATGAATTTAATGGATTAAGTCCTTAACGGATTAAGTACTTAGTGGGATAAGCCCTTAATGGGTTAAGCGAGAAACATTTAACCCTAATTATCATTTTATGTGAAACCCTAATT